ACAGGTGGGTGGATGGATGTAGAGGTTGTCAGAAATGTGTCTCTCTCCCTCCTCTCTCCCCATCTACTGAAAGCATGTGGGCCCTTGAAGGTCCCCCTGGGTGTCTCCTTACCGCGACCATGGCCTGGATCTTCAGGCCGGCATCCTTGACCGCAGTGTAGCGCTTGGTTAGATTGGTCACCCTCCCATCCAAGTCAAGCAGGGCCTCTTTCTTGTTGTCCTTCCTCTCAAACATCGGGTTGGCCGACCAGTCCTGGAAGGATAATGCAAGTGTGAGGAGAGCGTTTGGAGCAAAGGCTTGGGGCTCGGCTCCTGCATGACACACCCTTTGGAGCGAGCACCCTTGTCCCGGGCTGACCCCGCAGAGGCTGAGGGGCTGTGAGAACCATTGGCCAGCGAGCCTCAGATGATGTAACTCAACACCAGCTGGGGCCTCGGGGGACCACGGAGACACCCCCGGGTGCTCCCCCACAATCAGGCCTGGAAGGAGCCCCCCTCCTGGGAAGGCGCGTCTGAGTTTTTCATCCGGGAACCTTGGGAGCTGGGGACGAGGGCGTCTGGTGGCCAGACCCGGAGACGAACATGGAGACGGTTAGAGTCCAGGAGGACAGGAAGGGCCGCATAAGAGAGTATGAGTGACCGGAGGAGGTGCCCGGGGGCTGGGGAGCTGCTGCCATTTTCAAACTAAAAGCACTCTGAATCTAGGGGTCACATCTGGATACATTCTGGTGACCTGTTGGAGCCCCGGAGATGATCAAGGGCTCTGCCCACCTCCGGACAGAGTCGGGGGGGCAGCAAAGGGGAGGCAGGCCGCTGCCGGCCTTCCCCACACTGAAGCTACGAGACAGGGTGGCTGCGGGCTCAGCTGCGTCCCCCTCGGTCCCCCACCGATGTTACACATTGAAGTCCTAACCTCTAACATCTCAGGATGTGACTGCATTTGAAAGGAGGATCTTTAAAGAGGTGATGATGTTAAAGTGAGGTTGTGAGGGGGGCCCTTACTCCCATATGGCTGGCGTCCTGATGAGAAGAGGGGATGAGGACACAGACACACACAGAGGGACGACTGTGTGCGGACGCGGCGGGTGTGGGGGAGACGGCCGTCTGCACTCCGAGGGGAGAGGCCTCAGAAGCAACCAGCCCTGCCGGCACCTCGGTCTCCAGCCTGCAGCCTCCAGCCTCCAGGACTGTGAGACAAGACACATCTGCGGTTTGAGCAGCCCGGCCTCCGGCATTTAATCATGGCGGCCTGAGCAAAGCCAGGGATGCTTTTAGACCATTGGAAGAAAAGGACCATATCAAAAAGTCCTTCACTTGGACAACAGAGCTACAGGTGAGATCAAAAGTTATCTTTGGACAAGCAAGGACTCTGAAAGGAGGTCACCTTTCTGAGGCAATAACATGCGGAAATAGTCCATTCAAATAAAAAATTGCGTCAGAAAAAAATGGTGTGAGCCGTGGCTTTCGCCTACAATTTACTGAGTTAAATCTAAGCGGGTGGTGATGAAATGCATGTGAACTGTAACACAGGAGCATTTCACGCCCTGATGAGCCCCAGGAGTCTCAAGACATAAGAGCTGTGTTCTTGTGAGCAACTTAGCCACGGCCCCACTGCGGGTGTCTGCAAATTCTGGCGCAGAGGACAGACTGTGGCGGGGGGCGGCGCTAGTGAGGGCTGACCCCAAGGTTTCTGGATCAGGCTTGAGAGAAAGGACCTGGGCTGCTCTGCATCGAGGGATGGGCGTGTTCTGGTGTTGCTGATCTTAGCGATCTTCACCGGCTCCCCTGCCTTGTTCCTAAGAGCCCACCTGGCAGAGGGGACCTGCCCACACACTCTCCGGGCTAAACAAAAGCAAACAGAATGGAATTCCACAGAGTGACCTGGGGCTCTTGTGGCTTGGGGCCACCCTGACATCATCACCGTGGGAACCAGAGCCTCAGAAAGCAGCCCCCGACCCTGCCGCCTTGGGCACTTTCCGTGAGCATCTCCGTGGGGCCACTTCCCCAGGACCGCCTCCCAGGCCCCCATTCCAGCCCCGCTCTGTTCTCTGCAGGCGACTCACCTTCATGGCCTGGGAAACTCCCTCTACATTTCGCTTTGCCTTCTGTATCCTGTTCTGCAAGTTGTGTAGAATTTCCCGCATCTCTTGAATATATTCAAATACACCTAAGAATGGAAGCAGAAAGGAATCTTAGAAAATCGACGATTCAGCAAGTGCTGGCTTCACACTCATGGTTAGGACGCAGTGCTCGGCGAGGACATCCACTTCCCGGGGCCTGAGCCAGGAGTCATCCTGGGGAGCTTCCCAAAACCAAGGCTGAGGCGTCGCACACATTGTGCCTCTTCCAGAACAGGACCTCCCGTCCCCAGGCAGGCGGACCATTAATTCCATCCACGAACTCCAGATGCCAGACAGGCTGGACTCCCCTCCATCCACGTCCACCCCGCCCAGGTGTAACCCAAGGGGAAACAAATGTGGCTTTGAGGAGGAGGGTACAGCTCAGTGGTAGAGCACATGCTTAGCATGCACAAGGTCATGGGTTCAATCCCCAGTACCTCCATCAAAAAGAAATAAGTAAACCTAATTACCTCCCCTCATAAAAAGATTATAAAAAAAAAGAATGTGGCTTTGGTACCATCTCCATTCCAGTACAGTGTTGTTTCGGCATCCAGTAATTTGACATCGATTGCTTCCAGCTCTGACTTTATCAGTGGAAATTCTACGTCCATCATGGTGGTCTTTATCTGCAAAACAAAGGCTACAGATTCAGGGCCCATGTTGCGAATCCAACCAGCTGTAACACTGTCTTCATGCTGAGGGTGTTCGGCACTCGACACCGACCAGACAGATGGCAGTTCACGTGCACGCCGACGTTCGGGAGACCCCAGCTTGCAAAGTGACTTCCCATCACCAAGGATTTACGTCGATACTTAACTCCTGATCACTCACGTTACGGGGCAAAAAGAGAAGCAAGTTCGCTAGCGCAAAAACAGTGCATGTAGAATCCCAAACTTCACAAAATCTGGCTTAGACTCCTGAGAGGAAAACCAGAGAAACACACATGGGTAGTTGGGACATTTCTGGGGCATTTCTCAGCACACCTCCTTGGTCATAAGCAAGGGAGGTCCAGGATCTGCGCAGGGAGAAGCTATTCCAGACGGCGTCGGGGTGAAGAGTCGTGCGGGTCCCACGCAGGCGTGATGCACGTCTACCCCGCTCCAAGAGATTCGTTTAATGCTTGGAAAGCTCAACGCACAGAACAGAAAAAGAAGACAGAGGGTGCATACGGTTTCCATAAATCTTCCTTTAAATAATAAGCACCATTTACGCTGTGCAATACTGCCCTATCTGGCAACATTCTGACTTATACCTAAGTTTTCGAGGACACTTCTACTCTATAAAGGGAGAGATGTACATAGAATTGAAATTGTACGTTGCTGTGTGTCTACGCATGCCTGGGGCACTGCGCTGTGCACCAGAGACTGACACAGTGTGACTGACTGTGCTTCAGTTAAAAAATAGTTAAGAAAAAAGATCAGGCCAAAAAAACTGTACATTAGAGGCTATTTGCCTTTCACAATAGTTCTTTACTACATAACATTTGGTAGTTTATTTTCTTGATTTTATTTAAAAATTTTTGTAATTAATCCTTTTTGAGGGGGAGAGGTAATTAGGTTTATTCACTATTTTTTGTGTACATAGATTTTTTTTTACTGAAGTGTAGTCAGTTTTTAATGTTGTGTCAGTTTTATTCACTATTTATCTAAATAGAGGTACTGGGGCTTGAACCCAGGACCTCATGCAAGCTAGGCACGTCCTCTACCACCACGCTGCACCCTCCCCTGCAAAGTTTGGTACTTTAAATGGTGCCCCCCCACCCCTACCCACGTCTTTCTTTTCAGACAAAGATCTCTTAGAAAAGGCACAGTATGGGCAGAGAGAGAAATAAAGCTTAAAAGCTATTACCAGTGGAGAGCAGACAGAAGTAAAAGGAAGCGTCGATGCAATCACAGAGCAGGTCAACGTGAAATACGGGTCCCACTTACCAGTCTGGACAATGAAACATTACATAAACGGCCCAGATAATAGCTAAGTATTATGATGTCTCTGCGATGGACCAGAGTAAACAATGCTCGTGGTGATGAGATCTCCCTAACATGCCCTGTTTATTTAATTTCTCAGCAGCCTTTGCCATAAATCCACATCTTCCCGGCGTTTGCCCCAGACAGCCTAGAAGGCTCTTTAAAGCACCACACCCACGCTGCCTCGCTTGGGCGCGCACGGGTGTTGGCAACCACACTAGAAATCAGAAGGGCACCTAAGGGACCCAAGAGCCTCTCCAGAGAGGGAACCGGCGCCAGTGACAAGTCGCTGCAGGTGCCGAGCTCACTCTCCCGCTCCTCACCCGACTCCGACACTTTTACCGGCGAAAACAACCGTGTTCGTGGCCGACGCTAGCACGCCGCACCAGCCTGGGCTCAGCTGGGATTTGTCTGGAAATTCAGAAGTGGAAGATCAATCTGGGGTTTTATTCTCAATAGCATCTGTTGGATTTTTTTTGTTTCTGATTGTGTTATCATAAAAAAAATCCTTTGCACTGAAAGTAACCCACAAACATTTCCCATGTTACTACATCCGTAAAGCCTCCGTTTCATCCTAAACACCGTGGCTGGGAGGTGCTCCAGGGGCTGGACGAACGCGCGCTCCTAGAGCCTGAAGACGCTGGAGAAAGCGCATTCAAGGAAACGCGCTAAGGCCCTGGCGCTTCATGGCTCGGCGCTCCCAGGAGTGAGTTGATTAAAATTTTATCTTAAAAAAATGACAGTAATGGAAATGCGCTTGCTCTAGTTTATACTGCACACATTTTAGGCTCCATTACCACCACGCCCTAATCCGGGAAGAGACTGAGGAGCGGGACTGCGGTCGAGGCTTTGGTGGCTGTGTCGGGAGGCGGGGCTGGGGCGAGGGCTACTTCTGACAAATCCACCTGCCAGCACGACCCGTCCCGCTTCACTTTGCCTTCGCGTAGGGGAGGTCACCTCTAGCAAGAACAGGAGCCCTCTCCAGATTCCCCAAGACCTGGCCTTGAGCATCCTGACACATCAACCTTCTCCGCTCGGCATGGAATTCCCAGGCTGGGGTGAATGCAGCCACCATCCCCTACGTGAGGTGTCCTGGCAGCCAGTGTCGCATAACAGAAACACCCTTTGGACTCACAATACTACGTTTTCTTTCTCTCGTGGGAGGGGGGCGCACGGTGTAGTTGCACACTCAGCAGGGGCTGGTCGGGGGGCAGGACAGGGAACTCCCTCCTCACGTCCTGGATGGGACCAGACATTCAGCTCAAGGCCCCACAAAGCAGGCTGAGGGAGGGTGCCCCCCAGGGCTCTAGGAAAGGGGCTTTCACTCCAGGGGTCTGGGAGTGTGTAAGCATCTCCTGGACAGACTCAACCCCAAGACACAGAAATGGAAATGTCCCAGGTCCCAGACAGTTGCTCCATTTGGGGGCAAGGTGGCTGCAAGAAACATAAGCCCAGTAAAGCTGCCTGCAGTCACGGGCGGGAGTGGGGGTTGCTGGAGGAGCTGGGGTTGGAGGAAGGAAAGCACACAGATATCTGTGCGTCCAGCGGAGCCCTGGGGGCTGGACCCGCAGAGCCTGCACCTCCCCTCCGCCTCTCCCGTCCTCTGCCGCCCCTCCTGCTCCCTTCTGTCTGCAGCCTGTGTTTCTGCTCACTCTGGCTTCTCTGCTCCCCAAGTCCAAATCCCCAGGGTCCCAAGGAGAGACTGTGGGAGGCTAGATAATGGTCCCCAAAGACGCCCACGTCCTAATCCCCAGGACCTGGGACTATGTCACCAGACCCGGAGAGAGAGAATTTGCAGACGTGATTCAGTTAAGGGCCCTGGTATCTGGTGGGCCCAGTGCAATCACGTGGTCCTTCTAAGAGGGAGCCAAGAAGGGCAAAAGAAAAGATGGGCAGGTGACAACAGGGGCGGAGGTTGGATGGTGTGATCTGAAGCGGGAGTGACATGACCTCGAGCCCAGGAAGGCGGGAAGGGCGAGGCCCCGGGGAGGGGCTCCAGCCACCTTCAAACATGAAAACATCCTCAGGTCTATTCCACTTGGAGACGTGACTCCTGCATTTGCTCTAAACGAAACCCAGCTTGGCAAACAAAAGGAAACCAAAGGACACCGGCTCACCTCATCGTACCAGCCGACAATGAGCTCCAGGTTGCCCACAAACTTCCGGAAGGTTTCATACTGTGAGTACAGATTCTCAGCGCTGCTGGGGATCTCTTTTTGTTGCTGGAAGTTCAAGTACTTGACCTCTCTCAGCACTGCCACCAACTAGAGCAAATGAAGAGGACAGAAGCGGGCGGGGGGTGGCCTCAGTGGCAGGCCACACAAGCAAGGGTCCGACCCCGGGGCGCTTCCACAGCCTGGGGGGAGGCGTGGCGGGGGCCGGGCTCTGCTGGCGGTCAGGCCATCTGCGCTCTACTGACTGGTCCTGAGGCAGTGCCGTGGGTGACACCGTTGTGACCCCCAGGCTCCAGGGCTTCGCCCGGCTCCGCCCTAGAATCTGACCTGCCCTTGTCCCTCTCCTGCCCGAGTTTTACGGCCCAGGAGACGGACAGCTGGGCATCCCTTCCAGCAGAGCTTCTGCCCTGCTGCTCGGCAAAAGCTGCTCTTGTTAAGGTACCAGTGACCTTCAAGTCTGAATCCACTGGCCGCTTCCAAGCCTCATCTCAGCAGCCAGTTCCCCCCCACTCCTGGGCACATGGTCTGCTATCTGCATCCAGGACACCAGACCCTCCTGGTTCCCATTATCAGTCTCTTCGGAGGCTCCTGAGATTTGCATGTTGCAGAGTCGCAGACGGGGGTCCCCTGCAGATGGGGGCCCCCTCCTCTGCTCACCTTGCTGACTGACCCAGCATCGCGACTTTAAGAACCACCTATGGGTGGACAACTCCAGCAAGCATCGTCCCCAACTCAAATCTCTCTCCTGACCCCTGCCTCCTACGTCTACCTGCTAACTCAACATCTCCGTTTAGATGTTAAACTCAACGTGACTGAAACAGAGCAGCGGTCCAGCCCTGGCTGCTGCCTCCCCCCACCGTCTCAGCTGCTGGCAACACCCTGCTTCCAGCTGTCCCATTCCCGAACAGAGAGGCTGCCCCCTCTGGTCCCTGAACAGATCCCAGCCTGCCTAGTACCTCACTGGCACCAGGGTCAAGTCTGGTCGCTCTGTGCACCTTCCCTGCTGCTGCTCTGGTCCAGGCTGCCACCCTCTCACAGGCTCTCACCTGGATTCCAGGAAATTGCTCTAAGTGGCCCCCTGGCTTCCAGCCCTGCCCTCCCCCCAAGTCTGTTCACACACAGCATCTAGAGACACCCTGGAAACATACCAATCAGACCAGGGCTCCCCCAGCTCGAAACCCTGCAAGGCTGCCATCTCATGCAGAACAAAATCCAAGTCCCTCTTGTGGCCCGTGAGGCTCTCCATGGCCCGTCCTCCCCCTCCTCCATCCTCCCCTCCCCTCCCCTGTGCTCACTCTACCTGGCCCCACTGGCCACCTGCTGCCACAACCCGCCAGGTACACACACACCTCCCAGCCTTCGCTTTAGCTGTTTGTTCTCCTCAAAGACCTTCCTCCCATCTCTGCTGGTCAGCTCCCTTACCTCCTGCAAGTCTTTGCTTGAATCCAAAACCGCAACCTGTCCCCGTCCTCTGGTTCCCTCAGTGGCCCCCTTACCCGCCCTTCCCCTCCTTCGAGGTACTGATCATCACCATCATTACTGGCTCGCTTTACCTCGCTTTACGGCTCCCTCCACGCGTTCTCCCTGCCCTTCCAGCCCCGCCCTCTTCCCTCTCTGTCCTGTCTGTCTCTCTCCTCCTCCCTGCAGGAGGGAGGCTTCAGGACAGAGACCCCTGTTGGTTCACACACACACAGAGTAGGTGCCCAGTAAATATTTGTTGAATGAAAGAATGAATTTTAGCGACAGAGAAGGTTTCAGAGGAAAAGTCCCATCTGGGTTCCCTGCCTTCCTGGTGCCACCACCGGAGTTCCGAGTAGGACAAACGCATTCTCGTGAGGCAGGTGCTCCTAGGAATTCAGGCTGCTCCTGCTTCTGCCCTTGGGCACGGTCCACAGTCCCGGGTTTTAGCCCTGGACGGTGTGGGTTTCCCTCCAGCTTGTCCAGCCGGAACAGGGGCCCGTTTGTTCAGATCCTGCAAGATCTTTTTTTTAAAAAAATTCTCAAGGTTGCTATGATTTTGTCTCATATCTTAAATATGTCCTGGGCATGCTTAAGAAAATAAATAATAAAGCTTTAGCTAAACAGGACATAAATGCCAACCCTACAAGTCCCTGCTGTTGGTAAGAGGGGATTGGATTCAGAGCCACATGGGCGCCCCCCACGGGGAACACCAGGTCAGTCCCCAGGGCAGCCCCCGGCCCAGCCGCCCGCCCGAGACAGCAGCCAGAAGGCACCCACCGCTTTGCTGAAGTTGACGCGGATGAGGCCAGTGACGGGGTCCCGCTGGATCAGGGGCTGCCCCAGGTTGAAGTGGCAGTCCTGGTCCACCCCCGCCACCCACTGCTGGTAGATCCTCTCTCGGTAGCTTCTCAACAGCTCCATCATCTCATCGTATTTCTGGTAGATCAGCTTGGCCTCCACGCTGGACATGACCCTGAAATCAGAGTCAGGAGGACAGTCAGGCACCGTGACCCCAACTATGGCTGCCAGATCTCGGGCTGCCTCAGCCGACAGCAGGCTCTCTGTTCCCGCCTGAGAGACGGCATCTACGATGAGCGATGGCCCCTCTACAGGCAGCACCCAGAGCAGAAGGTCACAGGATCCCCCTTGCAGGACTGGCCCCCAAAGGCCAGGACTTGATTAATCACTGCCGCCTTCCCTGATCCCAGCCCTGCCCACCAAGTGAGGACCAACCAGAGGGCCAGACCTAACCACACAGGACGCCCCGTCCTCCAGCCCCTACGCTGACAGCCTCTGATCCAGGCGACCTGGAGCCCCCCTGGTCCTGCCATGAGCTCTCCGACTCCTCCCCCCGCTTTCCAGGCTCTGCAAAGGCAAGTGACAGTGGCCGACCCCCTGCTCTGGCCCATGCTGAGGACGTAGCCCGGGCTTGTTCTCTGGGCGTCTTTGGTCATCTGCACTGGGGTGACCGTCTCAGGGAGGGTGAGCTGGGTTCGTCCTGACCTCACCCCCTGGGAAGGGGCCCAGAGGAGGCGGCGGGCACCAATGGGACGACTCCTGGGAGGGTGTTCCAGGAAGGAAAGGTGTGGCCTTGGAGATGGGACAGCCCCACCCCCTCAGAGGTGAACCTGCCCGGCACTGGGACTCACGGGTGCTCGATGTGTTTGAGGTCCCTCATGGGGCCCTCCAGCCTCTCCTGCAGCTCCAGGCTCCACTTGAGCTGTCCGGCCACCGGAGGCATGTTTTTATGGATGGGGGGGATGTTCCTGTCTGCCGAGGCCGCAATCTGGGTGTCATACAGGATCTTGGTGTTGTCCAACTCAGCGTCAAACAGCTCCAGCATGACCGAGTACCGGGGCACCACCTCGGCGAGGATCAGTGGCCGTTCCAAGAGGCCACCGCACATGTACAGCAGCTGGGGAGACGCGAGATATGTGCCATCACTGCCTGCCCTGTTCCCCGCGACATGCCCAGGCGCCTGGCTGCAGACGCCACGTGCGCTGCCAAGTGTCAGGAGCAAGAAGACACCAGCCGTCGAGATGGAGAAGCTTGCTCTGCGTAACAACTTGTTAAACGGACACCTCTGATATCGTGCTGATGCATGAATTCCCAAATACTTAGCTTATAAACCTACAAGACAAACTAGGTCCAAGGTCTGGAGAAATTTATTCCAGACCCAGAAGAAATCAAGGTTTTGGCAAGGAAGATTTAAACAGTTAAGAATTATCATTTAAAACACCAAAAAAATACCAGCCACGATACAGCACTTGTATAACCAGGGCTTACACTAAAACCGGATGGAGCAATGTCTTAGTCTCAAGAATCACTCCTCCTAGGGGGAGAGCACTGATGCTCAAGGGCCTTCCTGGGCAAGAGAAACCGCCATCAGGAAGGTTGTTTCGCTCTGGAAAATGCTACGGGGGAAAGAGCAACAGGGAGAGAGGGAGGCTGATCTGACACCACGTGGGGTCTCCAAACCACTCAGCTCACCAAGTGCTGGGTGCGAGCTGGAGTCTGTTCAAGTGTCCTGGGGCCGCTGTGACACTGCACCACGAACTGGGCGGCTCCAACAAGGGGAATTTATTCTTGTACCCTGGAGGCCACAAGTCCACAGTCAAGGCGATCGGAGCTGGGCTCCTTCTGAAAGCTCCAGGGGACGGTCTGTCCCAGGCCCCTCTCCAAGCCCCTGGGGGTTGCCGGCAGTCCTTGGCCTGTAGACCCATCCCTCCACCCTCTGCCTGCGTTGTCATGAGGCCATTTCCCCTGGGTGTGCCTCTCCTCTTCCTCTTATACAGATCCCAGGAATACTGGATCAAAGGCCCACGCCCCTGCAGTAGGACGTCAACTTACATCTCAGTTACGTCTGCAGCGACAGTATTACCAGTAATTCACAGGTCCCGGGAGGGGCGGGATCTCCACATCTCTCTGGAGGACACAGTTCAACCCCTGCTCAAAGGGGCACGTGTTTGGCCTGGGGCTGGCCGAGTGGAGGTGGTGGCGGGGACGGGGCTCAGACAACACACACACACACACAGACGCTGAGAGCAGGCAGCGCTGTCTGGGAGAGCTCAGCCCCTGGGGATTTGGGGAAATTACTGGGACAGCTTGCCACGGTCATAGGCCATGACATGGGGCTAAGCCTGGGTCCCCTTCCATGCATTGTGTCCAGGACCCAGCAGCCGGAGAGCCCTGGCCTGGTTACTCAGGGTGGCGGGCACCCCACACATGCCTGAAGGTGGTAACCACGCCAGAGCACTCGTGGCAAGCTCATCCCCGCCATGGTCTGTGGACGTGACACAGTGGCAGTTGTTTAAAAAACGAAAAGCTTATTTCAGAGCCCCAGCAAGACAAGGCAGTTCGTTTAGGACGTAGGCAGCTGGCAACGAACCAGGTAGGACTCTGCTTCACTGGAGATGCTCATGGAGAGGAGATGCTCACTGGGCTGTGAGAGGCTCCCAAAGAGACTGCTTTGATTTCCAGTCAGGATGGTGGAGTGGTAGGGCCACGAGCTCGCCTCTCCTCGCAACTACAGCAAAGCCACAACTGACTGCTGAACAGCCATTGAAAAAAAGACTGGAACCTGGCAAAATGGATCTTCAACGGGAAAGATAAAGAGGGAACCTCAGCGGGACGGTAGGAGGGGCCTGCTCATGATGCAATTGGGCCCCAGACCGCTGCCGGGTGGGTGACCCATGAGCTGAAGGATAATTAAGTCACAGAGGCACTCCCACAGGACTGAGAGCGTTAAGCCCCACGGCAGGCTCCCCAGCCCGGGGCTCTGGCACTGCGAGGAGCAGACCCCAGGACATCTGGTTTTGAAGGCAAGTGGGGCTTCACTCCAGGACCCCACAGGACTGGGGCAGACAGAGACTTCATTCTCTTGGGAAGCTCACACAGAATCTCACGCGTGCCAGGTCCAAGGGCAGAGGCCATGATTTCACAGGAACTGGGGTCAGACCTGCCTGCTGGTTTTGGAACGTCTCGTGGGGAGTAGGGGATGGCTGCAGCTCACCCAGGGGACATCAAAGCTGGTGGTGGACATTCCGGGAGTGCTCACCTACATGAGCTTTCCTGGAGGCTGACATCTTGATTGGATCATTGGCACCAAGACCCAGCCCCACCCAATAGCCTGTAGACTTGACAGCTGGGAAGCCTCAAGCCAAACAACACACTGGGTTGGAACACAGTCCCCCCCCACCAGCAGACTTCTTGAGCCACAAACACCTCTAGACACAGCCCCACCCACCAGAGGTCCAGGACCAAGCTTCAAGCTGGTCCATGACCAGCAGTGGGCAGGCACTTCTCCTGCCAGGAACCCTGCATAAGCCTCTAGTCCAGCCTCATCCACAAGGGGAAGATGCCAGAAATAAGGAAACAATAATCGCAAAGCCTGTGGAAGGAGCCCACACACACAGGCCAGACTCTGCACTGGGACCGGCTGGACCCTGGCCCTTGGGCGACAAGAGAGGCGTGCACTGCTGGGACGGATAGATTGTCTCCCACAGAGGGCCACCTCTCCAAGGTTGAGAAATGTAACTAACCTACCTAAAAATACAAATAGAAAGATAGATAATATGAGGTGGCAGAGGAATATCTCCCAGGCCAAGGCACAAGATGAAAATCCCAGAAGAAGAAATAAGAGATGAGGAGCTAGACAATTTATCCGACAAAGAGTTTAAAGTCATGATGGTGAAGATGTTCAGAGAACTCAAGAGGAGTACAGATGCACAGAGTGAAGTTTTTAGCAAAGAATTGGAAAATATAAACAATATCCAAACAGAGTTAAAGAATAAAATCACTGAAATGCACAACACACTAGAAAGAACCAAGAATAGACTAAATGAGGCAGAAGAACGGATCAGTGAGCTAGAAGACAGACTAGGGCAAATCACAGCTGCAGAACAGAAAAAAGAATGATAGGAAATGAGGACAGTTTAAGAGAACCCTGGGACAACATTAAGTGTGCCTACTGAAAATTATAGGAGTCCCAGGAAGAGAAGAGAGAAAGAAAAGGACCTGAGAAAACTTTTGAAGACATAATTACTGAAAACTTCTCTAACTTGGGAAAGGAAACAGTCACCCAAGTCCAGGAAGCGTGGAGAGTTCCACACAAGATCAACCCAAAGAGGAACACACCAAGGCACGTAGTGATCAAATTGACAAAAATTAAGGATAAGGAGAAAATATTAAAACCAGCAAGAGAAAATCAACAAGTAAAATGCAAGGGAACTCCTGTAAGATTATCAGCTGATTTTTTCAGCAGAAACTCTACAGGGCAGGAGAGAATGGCATGATATATTTGAAGTGATGAAAGGGGAAAACTTCCAACCAAGGATTCTCTGTCCAGCAAGGCTTCTGTTCAGATTTATGGAGAAATCAAAACCTTCACAGATAAACAAAAGCTAAAGAATTCAGCACCACCAAACCAGCTTTACAACAAATGTTAAAGGAATTTCTCACAAACCCCAGACAATTAACAAAATGGCGATAAGAACATATGTACTGACAATTACCTTAAATGTAACTGGATTAAATGCTCCAACCAAAAGACACAGACCAGCTGAATGGATACAAAAACAAGACCCATATATGCGCTGTCTACAAGAGACCCACTTCAGAGCTAGAGACACATGCAGGCTGAAAGTAAGAGGGTGGAAAAAGATATTCCATGCAAATGGGAACCAAAAGAAAGCTGACATCAAAACCAGACAAAGATATCACATAAAAGAAAATGACAGGCTAATATCACTTACGAATATAGATGCAAAAATCCTCAACAAAATACTAGCAAATCGACTCCAACAATGCATTAAAAGGATCATACACCATGAACAAGTGGGGTTTATCCCAGATTTTTTAATATCTGCAAATCAATCACTGTGATGCACCACATTAACAAACTTAAGAATAAAAACCATATGATCATCCCAATAGATGCAGAAAACCTTTCGATAAAATTCAACATCCATTTATGATAAAAACTCTCCAGAAAGTGGGCATAGATGGGACATACCTCAACATAATAAAGGCCATATATGGCAAACCCGCAGCTAACATCTTAGTGGTGAGAAGCTGAAAGCATGCCCTCTAAGATCAGGGCCGAGACAAGGATGCCCACGTTAGCCACTTTTATTCAGCATAATTTTGGAAGTCTTAGCCATAGCAATCAGAGAAGAAAAAGAAATAAAAGAAATCTGAATTGGAAGCGAAGAAGTAAAACTGTCACTGTTCGCAGATGACATGATACTATACATAGAAAACCCTAAAGAAGCGACCAGAAAACTACTAGAACTCAGTAAATTTGCAGGATACAAAATTAATATACAGAAATCAGAGGCATTTCTATACACTAACAATGAAATAGCAGAAAAAGAAATTAAGGAAACAATACCATTTACCATCACACCTAAAATTTAGAATAAAATACCTAGGAACAAACCTCCCAAGGAGGCAAAAGACCTGTCCCCTGAAAACTACAAGACACTGCTGGAAGAACTTGAAGATGACATAAACAAATGGAAAGATATACCATTTCTTGGATTGGAAGAATCCATATTGTTAGCATGGCCATACTACCCAAGTTAGTACAGTCAATGCAATCTCTATCAAGTTACCAATGACATTCTTCACAGAGCTGGAACAAAAAAAAAGGTTAAAATTGGTAGGGAAACGTAAATGACCCCGAATAACCAAAACGATCTTTATAAAGAATGGCGCTGGAGGAATCACATGCCCTGACTTCAGACTATACTACAAAGCTGCAGTAATCAAAACAGGGTGGTACTGGCACCAAAACAGACACAGATCAATGGAACAGGATAAAGTCCAGAAATAAACCCACGCACTCATGGTCAGTTAATGCACGACAAAGGAGGCAGGAACACACAATGGAGAAAAGACAGTCCCTTCAGCAAG